ATAGTTTGCAATTTCAGATATTGTGTGAAGGTACATTGAACATGAATATTTAAGCCAAGTGAAAACCAAATCTTGAACAAGTAAGTTTTTAGTAGCTTGTGTGTGTGTGTTGTTCTTTTTTTTTTTTCCACTCTGTTCTGTTTTTGACATTCTGAAATCATACGGCTGTTAAAGATATATGCAAACACGACAAAAATCTATTTTGCTCTTTTCTTTTCGTGTAAGCGAGGGTTTAGTTAAATTTTGTATTATTACTGAATAGTAAATTGTTGAAATTGATACTACAGGTTTTTGTTTTATTTATATAATAGAATGTTGGTGGTTTCTTATTGGTTGTTTTGTGTGAGCCAAGCTGCAAAATCTTGTTCCAATTTATTTTGTATGTATACATGACGGGTTTTATTGGATGATGTGGGGATATCTGGATATGTCTTACCTGTGCTCGAAAATTTTAGCTGTAGTAACAACACTGTACAGAGAAAATTTTTGTATATACATAATGCTTTTATGGTTTATTGACCAATTCGTTCCTTGTTTAGTCTGGTGGAAGTTATACTATCTTATGGGACTAATCATTGTGAAGGAGTTAATCTTGCAGTATACAAAGATTCAATAATGGGGAGCTCGGAAGGAGGTTTTCTGGACACGCAAACACCGGATAGTTTTCAATCTGGTGATTTCTCATCAGTTTTGAAAAGCTATGGAGTGTATGGAAATATTGCTGTTCTTGTTGCTGGGATACTTACACCCATAATTCTTTCCTCTCTGCTTTTGGGAAATAAAAGGGGAAAACAAAGAGGAGTTCCTGTAAATGTTGGTGGAAAGGCAGGTTATGCAGTACGCAATGCGCGTGTAACTGAATTGGTCGCAGTTCCTTGGGAAGGAGCGACAACTATGGCAGCTCTGTTTGAGCAATCTTGTAAAAAGAATTCACGAAATCGATTTCTTGGAACAAGGAAGCTAATTAGTAAGGAATTTGTCACCGCAAGCGATGGTAGGAAGTTTGAGAAGCTTCACCTGGGGGATTATGAATGGCAGACTTATGGTGAGGTATTAGATCGTGCATCCAACTTTGCTTCTGGGCTTGTCAAATTAGGCCACAATGTTGACACTCGTGCCGCAATCTTTTCCGAAACCAGGGCAGAGTGGTTGATTGCTTTCCAGGTAGCATTTCTATGTTTTTCTTCATTTTTATTTTCGGTTCTTGTTGTCAACTTTGATGTTTTTTCCTTTTTCTCTCCATAATACTTTAGAGACAATGCTAACAATTCTCTTTGCTTTCAGGGATGCTTTCGACAAAATGTTACTGTTGTTACTGTTTATGCATCTCTTGGTGAGGATGCGCTAATCCATTCACTCAATGAGGTGAGGTGACGTAGTCATTGTCAAAGTTTGGGGTTATTATATCTGTTAGGGAATGAAGGATTTATGGTAATCATGCATTTTTGTTATAATACATCAAAATAAAATCAATCCTGAACACTTTGAATGGTCCTCATTTTGCTATTTGACATTTGGACAGACCTCTGCAACGACTTTGATATGTGATTCTAAGCAGCTGAAGAAGTTGGCAGCAATAAGAACAAGCCTTCAAACGATTCAGAATGTTATATATATTGAGGATGATGGAAGTTCAAAGGATAATGGATTGTTTGAAAGTTTGAGCGACTGGACAGTTGCATCCTTTTCTGAAGTTGAGAGGCTTGGTAAGACGAGTCCTGTTCCTGCAAACCTACCCTCTAAGAATGGAATTGCAGTTATTATGTACACAAGTGGCAGTACGGGTTTGCCAAAGGTTGGTTTCCTGTTTGTTTACCTTTAATTATGTTTTCCATTTTGGTTCCATTTGCTGCTAAAGTAATCGTGCTGATCCAAATCATATTGATTAAATTTTTGCAACTGGTCCATCATTAGAGATGACATCAAGTGTGGTTGGGTGGGCCGGTGGCTGTGGATGTGTGTATTGTAATAGAGTTTCTCTTGAGTTCTTTATCTAGATACACAAAAATATAAATTATAAACGAAAATTTTCTGAATTGAGTACTTGTTTAATTACGTCTGTAAATATTGAAATTTGAGCAGTTATTTCATCATACCCGAGATTGCATGGTGATATTTTTTGATGGTTATCTAGGGAGTTATGGTAACGCATGGCAACATTGTAGCAACTGCTGCGGCAGTTATGACAGTGATCCCAGGAATTGATAGCAAAGATGTATACTTGGCATATTTGCCCCTGGCTCATGTTTTTGAACTGGCAGCAGAGGTACCTTTGTATTTGCTTTTTAACTTGTGCATGTTAGTGTCTGAGAATTATTTTAACACTGTTGTGGATGTCCAGTCTGTCATGTTGGCTGCAGGATGTCGAATTGGTTATGGATCACCATTGACTTTCACAGACACTTCAACTAAAATTAAGAAGGGAACTAGGGGAGATGCTTCTGTGCTAAAGCCAACTCTCATGGCCGCAGTTCCGGCTATTCTGGATCGTGTTCGAGATGGAGTTTTGAAAAAGGTATAAATCTATTCGATTAATCTTTCTATGGGGCACCAATAATGATTTCATGCATATGTGTTAATGGAGTTTATTGCTGTTGTTGTTGTGTTTTTATTTATTTATATTATGTTATATTTTATTTTTGGGATACATTCTAGGTTGAGGATAATGGGGGTCTAGTAAAGACTCTTTTCAATGTTGGATATAAACGTCGACTGGCAGCAGTGGAAGGAAGCTGGTTTGGGGCTTGGGGGCTTGAGAAAATGTTATGGGATTTTGTTGTCTTCAAAAAAATACGTACTTTACTTGGAGGACAGCTTAGATTTATGCTCTGTGGTGGAGCTCCTTTATCCGGGAATTCACAACGTTTCATCAATATCTGCATGGGGTAACACTTTTGCATCTTTTGATACACAGAGATTAGAAATCAACTTCGAGGTTTAAGCTTCTCCTGTTTTATGTTAATAAATCCTATGTGTTTTACAATTTTACCGGGTAACGGCCCTCTAGTTTGAATAGTGTTAATATGTACATTTACTAAAAAATTCTTGAAGTCATAAAACGGGCGGCCAAGTTCTGGTACTCGGGACTAGCCTGAAGTTCATAAATTGTCATAGGTTGTGTCTTCTTCTGTTTTTTTTTTCTTTTTTTTTTTTTTCTCTGGGTGGGGAAGTGGTGGAGTTTTTCTTAACGTATTTATTTTTTCGTCACCGAAAAATAAATAATTCTCAATTGCAATATTACCTTACATTAGCTAGGATGTGGTCAATGGATTCCTTGAGTTTAGGGATAGATATAAGCAGATTCAATACTTCTTTTATTATATTGTATTTTCTGCTGTCCTCTCCTCTTAGCATTGTATTTCTAGAAGGCGCTTCCACTAGTGTAAGTTTTTGGTTCATCATTCGTCATGTGTAAGTTATTAGTAACTTTGATCCTTTCAGTAAAAAGATGAATATCCTGAGGGATGTTACCATTAAATCCTGATTATGATGAATTGTTGGACTGTTCTCAGAAAGATTGTTGGAATCTAGTTCCTACGCTTTAGAGTTATATGTCAAACATTCAGAAATAACGATTACATGAATCCATTCATCTTCAAGAAAGAAACTATTTCAACCAAGTCATTGGGACAGTAACTACTGTGAGATTTAGTTCCATGCTGGACTAGGTTTGAAGTTCTTGTGATGGCTCTGCTTATCTGGTTTATTTTCTTATCTTTTGCTTAATTGGTCTCTATCTAACTTCACTTGCTGTTTATGGGTTTTTTACACAGGACTCCTATTGGTCAAGGATATGGCTTGACAGAAACATTTGCAGGAGCTGCTTTTTCAGAGGCAGATGACACAACAGTGGGCCGTGTTGGACCACCCCTTCCTTGTTCCTACATTAAGGTATATCAAATCTTTTTTTCCAAGAAAAGTCAGGTCATTTTATGATTGGGATCGTAATGGCTTAGACTAGAAGAGTAATGTCGATTGTCATGTTTGGAAAATTCCAACCTGTACGTTTTTTTTTCTTTAGCTAGTACAAGGTTTTTCTCATTTGAGGTCATTTGTGCTAACGACCAATAACAATTAAAAGTTGATTTCCAAAGAAATTATAACTTGGATTTCTTAAGAGTTGGAACTTAATGTCTTATCTGCTGCAATGCAGCTTGTGTCTTGGGAAGAAGGTGGCTATATGATGTCTGACAAACCGATGCCAAGAGGAGAGATCCTTGTTGGTGGACACAGTGTAACTGCTGGTTACTTTAAGAATCAAGAAAAGACTGAGGAAGTGTACCAGGTGATTCTGTAGGCCCTAGTTATGAGTGTATATATCAAGTATGGACATATATGTGTTGCAACATCATCCTCACAGCTCGGAAGTACTGGGTCTTAGGGTGTTTTACATTCTGCAGGTTGATGAGAATGGTATGCGTTGGTTCTATACTGGAGATATTGGAAGATTTCATCCTGATGGGTGCCTAGAGATTATTGATAGGAAGAAGGACATTGTTAAACTTCAACATGGAGAATATATTTCTCTTGGAAAGGTGTACTCACAATTTTGGCCAATATTTTTGAAATGCACCAAAGAATTGTTCTGTAGATTTTCTAGGATGCTCATTGCACAGTTGCTGCCATCACCGCAGGTTGAATCTGTGCTAGTGTTGAGTAATTACGTGGACAACATTATGTTACATGCGGATCCCTTTCACAGCTACTGTGTAGCTCTAGTTGTTCCTGTACATCAAGTTCTTGAGAAGTGGGCCAAAGAAGCTGGCATCGATTATAAGGATATCCATGACCTGTGTGAGAAAGCTGAAGCGATAAATGAGGTTCAACAGTCCCTCTCCAAGGTTTGTTTACCATTGCCTTTCTACAAGATTTTCAAGAAATTATGCATTCATGCATTCAAGAAATGATGCGTTGTTTATAACTCCTTTTTTCTTTTTAAATCTTACCGAAGAATTTCGTAATGCCATTTTTTTATTATTAAAAAATTCAAATTACTGTCTTGCAGGTAGGAAAAGCTGCAAAACTGGGCAAGTTTGAACTTCCTGCTAAGATTAAGTTGCTTGCAGATCCGTGGACACCCCAGTCTGGATTGGTCACTGCGGCTCTAAAGATAAAGAGGGAACAGCTGAAGTCCAAGTTCAAAAATGAGCTCACAAAGTTGTATGAATGAAGGAGTGAAGTAATGCAGTGGTTAAACAATAATATTCTCTAATTTCTCTTCCTATATGTTGAATTAGATGGTCATCGTGTTCCTTTTCTTTTTATTTTTTGTTAAAGCTCACTTTTCTGATATCCGAGCAATATGAGACTTTTAAACGAATTGATGGTGTAATCTTCTTAGTTATATTTTCTATGTTCATTTCCAATCCCATCGTAATGTCTCCGATGATGTTTGTGTTAATATGGTTGATGTTACTGCACTATCAGCATTAAAGCCATTTTCTCACGATCTTATGCATGCAAAGAAAACAGACAGGCATTACTACCAGTGGCCCTGAAGCCTGAACTAGGTGAAACGATGACTTGGCGATGAGTTGCTATTTCATAAATTTTTTGTGTCTTGTCTCTGCTAAACCATAAACTGACTGAGCTTTTTTTGCTTCTAGAAAAAGTCAAAGAAATAGTAGCAATAGTCATGTACGTGTTTCCCAACTGACCTGCCCAATGAAGGGACAGAAATGAATGATAGAAGCGTCCAGTGGACTGTGAATGCCAAAGGGATATAAGCTTTTTATGAAAATCTACTAATTCTGTAAGTCATACACTGTTTGTCCTCCTATAAGCGCGTCGGCATGCATCATTGATGGATGAACTGATTTCCGAGGCTAAGCAATTGTATGTTGAGACTCGAAACCATCTCATTCATTGTTGAGTCTTTATGCATGTTGGCAATGGAATATACGCTTCATCTCCACGAACAGGTATGAAAATCTCGTTGTATGAACGACCGCGTTGAAAAGACTTTCAAGCATCATTTTGGTTCAGATGGTGTACTGCTCAAAGACGCAGGCAATGTCGACAATGGTGGTCGAAGGAGAATATACAAAGCCGGACCAACAAACGGTACCAATGATAAAGGTAGAAGCCATGACCCTTTGTCAAACCTGCAACAAGAATTCAAGTAAATATGCAAAAGTTCTACGCTTCGATTGAAAGAAATATACTGTTGACGTTACATCACTCACCATTTCCGCGCAGTCATATCATTGTAAACCCAAAATGGAGCAAATGCTGATAGTAGAGTGAAATCAAGGCAAGTGACATGGATCTGGGAAAAAAGAAGGTTCAACGTCTTACGTAAACCTTGTAAAATTGTAAACTAAACTTCTCTAAATTGTTAAGGTTACATATGTTAATAATGACAATAATCATACAACATGATCTTATGAGACCCGGAGTAAACAACATTCAACGTTCTGAAGTATGAGAAATTGCTGAAAAACCATTACATTTATAAATGTATGGGTTTTGAAACACTTACAAATCTGCTTTCCCTGAAATACTGGAAAAACTCCTTCCAATCGCCTCCATTAGCTAATCCGGTGCAAACGAATATACCTAGTCCTGCAGCAAGTGATATCTGATGTCCAATGGAGTTAACTATACAGTTTCAGAGAACTATCACCAACTGTTTGTGATTAGTGGGAACTATTTAACAAAACAAATTCTCACCCCGGCTGTTAATTTTGATTCTAGAAAATTCAGAGGCCATTTGCTGAGCTCAGATTCTTCAACAGGAGGAGGTGGAGGTTTCCAAAGTACAAAATAGGGTAGAAGAGCATACACACCCCCAAAGAGCGAAAGCACGATGAAAGGCCAGGCTGCAACATTGCTTTTTGAGCTGCAAATTTAAAATCATAATTCAGCTTATGCATTTCTGAAACACTGATGTAGAGGAAAAGAATGTTGCTTGAGCTGCTTCCTTTTTTGCCCCTAGCAGCACTGACGGCCGACTGATTGACGTTAGTCATGCTACTTAAGACAGCTAATGAAGAAGATAGCTTACAAGCGTCATCCTATATGTTATGACACAAAACTAATGGACATTCATTTAAAACACACACACATTGAGTAGAAAACTAAGAATGCAGATGAACTGAATAAATCTGAGTTTTTATTTTGGAATTTTCTAGGTAAGGACTCAATGATCGCTCATTGGAATTGAACTCGGAATTGTTATCAATGGTAGGGAATGCATTTTCTGGATAAAAGAGGTACAAAGCATTAGCACTTAGCAGGCATTCAAGAAACAAGAACAAAGAAAAAAAAAGGGGTCTGGCACTTAGCAGAACTACCTTCTACCTGTCGGAAGCAGCAGGTTGCTGTACACCAATGGCCACAAACCCATTATGTACCATAGCGCCACAAGCACTTGATTCATTCTGAAACCGTCGTCCCCCTTCAGATTCGAGAGCTTTTTCAAGAAATACACATCCCTTGACTGAGCAAAAAACATAGAAACAAAAGATGATACTTTAGGAATTTCAGAAAATAGATCGACAGTGTAAAGGCTATTCTGGTTTACGTACTTCATTGACATTTGGGAAATGTCAAGACAATCCTGTTAGTATTATCTGCAGTGTAGACCTTGGCATAAGAAAAGTTCTACAAGGAGCAAAAGAGAAAGAACACAGACCGTTCTCGAGAAAAGGTTTTTTAGGCCTAGTTCATATTTCTTTTCCTTCTCCATTCACAATTTAAAACAGCATAATGATCAAGAAATGTTAATACCATCAAACAGCGAAAACTTCTATATGTTCTCCAGTTAGCCAATAAAGCACCATATTCTAATTTTCAGATGCCAACTATGGAGGAGCATTTCTATTGAAAATACACAATTTATTCACGTTGTAGCTCTGCAGTGCCAATTCAGACTAATATTAGTCCCCCTCAATACAACAACAACAACAACAACAACAAGCCTTAATCCCAATTTAATTGGGGTTGGCTAATTAGTCCCCCTCAATATAAAAATAAAATTTAATTAGAAAGAATATATAAAAAAAAAAATATAAAACTAAGATTTCAAAGCAATCTTGTCAATGACAACAACAAAAATAGAAGGGTAATATGCACGATGTACCCTGAACTTCCTATCATTAGCAATTTCGACTTCAAACTTTTAGTTTTGGCATTTAGAATTAGGTCTCTAATTTGACAATCTTTGACGATGCAATCCAATAGATAACGGATGCCAACTAATGGACGACAATTAAGGTCTTGAATGGCAAAACTAAAATGTTTAAGGCCTAACTTGCTAATTTACGAAAAATTTGGGCCGTATTTGTGCAAAAAATTACAAGGCATCACCGCCGGTTAATTGACACATCTCAGCTATTGGACCATAATTGTAACTAATCTCCAAATTTGAGGTACTATTTCTCACAATTATAAGTTCGGAATCCAAATTGCCCAGCATTGATAAATTTAAATTCCACCAATGTAATTAAAGGAAAAAAGAAAAACTACCTCAATTTCAGTAACCAGTTTAACTCCTATGAAAGGAGAGAGGGAATCCACTTCAAGTAAGTAAACCAAATAATCAATCTTTTGACGACAAAAATGAAACCAATACACTTGTATCAAATCAACACACATATATATAGATACACACACACACACACACAAACACATATAGATAGATAGATAGCTATACAATACCGGAGTCTGGTTGGGAGCCAGATTGAAAACATAGTACAATAGAGCACCCCATAGCACAAAGAGCAAAATTGAAGTCGTCCAATCAGACCAGTCACCAACATTTCCACCTTTTCCAGCCTCGGTTTTCAAGCTATCTACATCACTCAGAACTGGGTCTTCTGGGTTTTGACCTTTTTTTGCACTACGACATATTTGAAGACGACCCTTTTGCTGAACAAGTGGGAAGAAGATTGACGCTTTGTTGTTGTGGATTCTGAAAGTCGAAGACCCAGAATTTGTTTTGGGAAGTAATGTTGTTGGTTTGAGGTTTTGAGGTTGAAGATGAAGTGAGTTTCTGGGTTTTGAGGTTTTGGTTTTGAGTGAGGAAGATGGGAAGGTCTTGGAGAAGTTGCAGGAGATGAGGCTCGCATTGCTCAACATGGTGGAAACTGGAAAAGAGTGATTGGAAGATTTTTCCGGTCATTTTCATATTCTAATCCTACGTTATAATACTTGTTACCCTTGATACGACGACGTTAATTGTGAACACTTTTATGTGTCTTACAAATATATTTCTTTTAAGGATATTTTTCATAAATGGAGGCAGTTTTGTAAAATTATAAAAATGACTGTTTTTTATTAACTTAATGGTAGATTTATCGATTATTCTTTTATTATTAATGAATATTAGTTAATAATTAATTAAAATTACGTTGTAATTTATTAATTTTAATTAATAAAATACATATTTATTAATAATAAATTGTTGATAAATTAATAATAAATTAGTTAATTATTGATTGATCACGATAGATTGTGATCCATAAATCAATAACTAATTGATTCAGGTAAACATAACAATTATTTTTATAAAATAAAAAAGTTTAATCCCCAACTCAATTTCCGTTTTGCTTCCTGATTTTCGTTCGTCTCATGTTATGAAACATAAATTCAAATTTTAAATCTTAAAATTGTTCAACGTATTATATGCTAAGAAAAAAAAAATGAATTTGTCTTTTTTTTTTTTTGCTGAAAAAGAGTATTATTGCAAAAAATGAATTTGTCGACCCAAAAGTTAATGGATTTGTACAAATTTGTACTAATTAATTATGTATTAAGGAAGCAAAAATCCCTGTTTATTTATTTCCTAATAGAAAATTATGTGAGGCAGTATATTACTTAAACCGTAAAAACGACCATAAACCAACCAACACATGTATACGTATATAACAACCTTTCAAGCCTCAGCAGAAGATAAGGTCTCATCTCTCTCTCTCTCTCTGCCATGGCTGAAGCTTCAGGAATCCTACAAACTTCTCTGATATCAAACTTCCATCCATTCCACAAAACCCACTTGCCTCAGCTACACCCAGTACTGAGTTTCCGCAGAAACCCCACAATTCCAATCCAGTGCTCAGTCTCAACGAGCGAGACCACCAAAACGACAACGACCCAGAACGCCATTCCTTGGGGATGCGACATAGATTCGTTGGAGAACGCCTCGGCCCTTCAGAAATGGCTGTCGCAGTCGGGTCTTCCGCCGCAGAAGATGGCCATTGAGAGAGTGGACGTAGGAGAGAGAGGCTTGGTTGCTTTGAAGAACATTCGGAAAGGAGAGAAGCTGCTTTTTGTGCCTCCTTCTCTTGTCATTTCTGCTGACTCTGTAAGAACATTCTTTTCTTGCCCCCCAAACAAGAAATAATAAAGTCGTTCTTTTCTGTTTCTTATAATATGCTTGGTTTTTGTTTTTTTATTGCTTTTGTTGTTTGTTGTTGTTGATTGTTCACCATTGTTCTTCTTATGTGAAGTTTAGAAAATTGTAATTAAAGAAATGAGAGCTAATATCGGTGACCTTGTTCCTATGTGCCTGAGAATTTGTGATCCAATATGGTATTAGAGCAGGTGATCCTGAGTTCGAACTTTTGAATTCTGAAATTGCGCTTCTTATTTGTCCCATGTCAGGCCTTCAAGAGAAACTTATTAATTTGTCACTAGTTAGGACTTATTTTGAAGTTGTGCCCATATGCCTTCGCTATCGAATTAGCCTTTCGAATAGAATTGGTAATCTAACATTAGGGTGATTGGATGTTAATTTTTGGTTCTCAGGTCTTGGGCCTTAGTTTGAATTTGTACCAACCCATATGTATTCCCCCACCAACTTTTCTTTGGTATGATTTATCAGATCACATCATAATTAAATCATATTAAAACAAATACGACAATTTAGCAGAACTTGATGAAAACCTGACAGTCAGGTGTCCTATTAGTAGGATATTTTTCCCATACCTTAACCATAGAATTCTCCTAATTTATTACTAACACAACAAAGTGATCCCAGTTTCTCATTTATTTTTCATGTGTGTTTCGGAAATGCAAGGAATGGAGCTGTGAGGAGGCTGGTGAAGTGATGAAAAAGAATTCAGTTCCTGATTGGCCATTACTAGCAACCTACTTAATAAGTGAGGCAAGTCTCATGGAATCTTCAAGATGGAGCAACTACATTTCTGCATTACCTCGGCAACCTTATTCACTCCTCTATTGGTAAGTTTTCTTTTTATCACCTTTTGGATTTGTAAGTCTTTCAAATGTGTACTGTCTTTTTTTTTACTTCCTTAGAAAGAGTCAATTCTTAGTTTTCTTTTCTCCTTTGCAACGTCTCTTTATCAACTATTATGATTGTGGTTTTTACTAATCTAATTCTATTACTTTAGTTTCATTTCAGGACACGCGATGAATTAGATCGATATTTGGAAGCATCACAGATTAGAGAGAGGGCGATTGAAAGGGTTACAAATGTCATTGGAACGTAGGTCTCTGTGTTAGCTATTCCTTTTTACTGTTTTTTCTTTGACTGGCCACTTTTGGCGAGTAGATGATCTTCCCATTTACCAAGTTGAAAGTTGTCTTCCTGTTTTTCTTTTTTCTTTCTTTTGCAGATACAAAGATTTAAGGCTTAGGATATTTTCCAAGTATCCTCACTTATTTCCTGAAGAGGTACATATTCCCATTACATAACTAGTGTTCTCTAAGTGTTAGCAAAAAGAAAATCAAAATCCTGATTTTCTTTGCTCAATTTATGATTTGTAGGTATATAATTTGGAGACCTTCAGCTGGTCATTTGGCATTCTCTTCTCACGTTTGGTAAGTAATTTAAGTTCGATCATCATGAATGCGGTGGAAAATAATAAGTTGCTTTGAGAATTATTTCCACGAACTTGTGATTTCTTAATGTAACTTAAAGTCATGAGAAATACATGGCTTCAAAGAGAAAAATCTTGGACTGAAGTCTTGAGATCTTTTCAAAAAGTCTCAAAAAATAGCGATTCTAAGATACCAATCAGGGAAATAGGATTTCATCTTTATGTTATTTTAAGGACAAACTATTAACCGACTTCACTGCAGGTGTTGTCCAACAATATCTTTCCATAAAACTCTTTCTGATTGCATCTTTGGTTAAAAAAGAAAAAGAGTACCAATTAGATAGCTCGAAATTGGACGTTGAGAGCTTGTTTGGTAGGAGTGAAAAATAAAATGAGGGATGGGGGGCAGAATTAGTGGAAAGATTTCCGGACGTGAGGCTGTTTAGTAGGAGGGGAAAGAGGACAGATTACATTGGGCGAGAGACCTGAGGGATTTTAAATCCTTCAAAGAACCCCGATTTTAATCTCTTCTATTATGGAGGGACTTGAGAAGGGAATCTATACGGAACACAATAAGAGAAAAGTTCTTTCTTTCCTCCCCATTTGCTTGACCTAAGTGATATAACTTTCTTCCCTTCTGATTTTCTTTCCCTCTCCTGCCCAACACAGCCTAAATCTGGATGTTTAAGCATATTTGGTTTGCACAGGTCAGGTTACCTTCAATGGACGGAAAGTTTGCCTTGGTTCCTTGGGCAGATATGCTGAACCACAATTGTGAGGTATTCTGAGTAATCCCTTTATAAGAAAGTTCGGGAAAAAAAAAAAAAATCACCTGCAAAAAGTTTAACGATTTTGGATTTATCTGTATTTGATTGGTCTAGGTGGAGACATTCTTGGATTATGATAAATCATCTCAAGGAGTTTTATTTACAACAGATCGGCCATATCAGCCAGGTGAGCAGGTAAAGAATGAAACTTTTTCACCATTAAAAGCTCAAATCTTTATGGAGCAAAGTCACTTAAGAGTAAATTGAAAAGGAAAAAAAAAAAACCATAATAGGAGGTACATATAACTCATATAACTTTTTTTTTTTAATGCAAAATTTAATTAACCTGGACTTTTGCAATTATTTTCCTGGGTAGGAGATAACTTCAAGTTAGAACTCATGAACTGAGAGATACTTTCCGTGATTTACTTACATAATATGTTAGTGCTCATTAAGAGAATAACCTATGTAGGTTTTCATCTCATATGGCAAGAAATCTAATGGAGAGCTACTGCTGTCCTATGGTTTTGTTCCAAAGGAGGGAACAAACCCTAGTGATTCAGTTGAGTTATCACTGTCGCTTTCGAAATCTGATAAATGTTATAAGCAGAAGTTGGCAGCTCTGAGGAAGCATGGATTACAAGTGTAAGTACCTCATATCAGTTAAGAACTAGTATTTCTTTTCCTCTTCTATCTTCTCAGAATCTGTGTTTTTTTCACACATTTTCTTAGTAATTGAATAGTAGCAACCTTATTCTTTTTTTGGCAGGTCACAACGTTATCCGATACGAATCACTGGCTGGCCTTTGGAATTAATGGCATATGCTTATTTAGCTGTCAGCCCTCCAAGTATGAGCAGCCAATTTGACGAGGTCTGATAGTTTCACCTTGCATGCTTGTGTATTGCGGTTTTATTGTCGTACAATCTATCTTAAACATGTTTATTACAGATGGCTGCTGCAGCGTCGAACAAAACCGACATCAAGAAAGATTTAAGATACCCTGAAATAGAGGAAGAAGCCCTACAGTTTATATTAGATAGTTGTGAATCTAGCATATCAAAGTACAACAAGTTCTTGCAGGTACAAGAGTAATCTACGTATTTACTTAGTTTAAAGTGTTATTATATCTACAAGAAATTTATGTAACAAAATTTGGTAATTTTTTGTGTTAACAGCAAAGTGGAACGTTGGATTTAGATGTGACATCACCTAAGCAACTCAATCGAAGGTTGTTTCTGAAACAGCTAGCTGTAGACCTATGCACTAGCGAGCGAAGAATACTGTTCCGTACCCAATATGTAAGCTCATACCTAGTTTCTACTGCAGATTGACTATTCTTCTTGTTTTCAGTATGTGAATCACTTGTTTTTGCTACATGCTCAATCCTTTCCAGAACGTGCATTCCAAAATTTCAATTTCAATAGTATTCTGCTTAAGATAAAATGAAGGAATAGCTTTTCTCTTGTAAGCCATTTTTTTGTCCGGTATGTTGGTACCGGTTAGTTTTATACTAAGTTTGTTGTAAAATTTGTTGTAACAAATATAAGAAACACGTGAAATAGTAAAAGGGGCACAAGAAAATTAGTATCGCGGTTCAGTAACCACTACTCCGCGAGGCCACGCCCAAATGATGAACAATCCACTAAGTAAACAATGTTACAACTCAAATAAACTTAATCAATCCGAGACTTCCTCTCCAAGTATGACGCCTATGAACTTGTAACTACCCAATAAACTTGCTCAGTGAGCACCACTTGACTTAAAAAACTACATGGCAAACTCCCTTCGGCTGACAGTGCACTCTCTCCTAAGAGCTTCAAATTCTTCTCCCGAAGAACATTGGTTGAACTCCCTTCAACACTTCAAATCGTCTTCTCCCGAAGACTACAAATTCTTCTCCCAAAGAATGTGAAAAACAAAGACTCACAAAATGAGTTGACTCTCTGTAATTCTGAGACTCCAAAGGCCCACTGAGATTGTTGTGCGGCTCCAATTAAATAGCCAAAAAAACTAACTATAAAAAAACTTTAATGCAGTCCACTATACACATTCTGTTGCAGATTATGTTGTAACAATTACTGCAACAGAGCCAAAAAATCTAACGGAAAGTCAACCACGTTGATTCTTGAAATCTTCCTATATAAAAGCAGACGAACATGGACGTGTTCCTCAGAAACATGAGTGATTCATACATCCCACAGAAACTCATCCATAAATTAATCATTTCATCAATTTCAACTTGCCAAAAATATCCGAAAATTAACTTCCACCAAATCAAATCAATTTGATTGATTCCAAACAGTTTCCATATATACTAAACTTTCTAAATGTTTTTTAACAGCTGCCAATCAATTCTGCAATCATATCATCATCAAATTATGCCCAAAATAATACTAAAAATCAAAAACCAATCAAATCTAAAACTTTCCAAAAAGGATTCTTGCAGCAAATCAATCTCTAAATCAATCTCCATAGCAAATCTTTCAATTTGTAAAATAATGCCAATAAAAAATCCCAATAATCTCCCCCTTTGGCATTGTTTTGGCAAAATATCAAATCATAAATAAACAAAGGAAATTGTTTCAAATAAACACAATCAAATTGAAACTCCCCTTGAACCACACAACACAAAATCAAAGTTTGTACAAACTATTCTCCCCCTTTTTGACAAAATAATGATCAAAGCAGACTAAGAAAGGAGAACCGTCAATTTGAACACTCTGAGCTCCAACGATCTGATCATCTCCAAAATCCTGTTAAAAAAAAAATAGGAACCTTCTTCATGTATCCAATGCTATATGTTGTTGGACCAGTTACAACATAACAAGCAACAAATTCTGGATATGATGGTACAACATTTCATTCAATGTTGTCTCCACCTCAATGACTACCACAAACTTGTTAGAATGAGAATGAAAGCCATTGCCTGCAAAACCGGTACGCTAGGATCTCACCAAAACACACATTAGTGACCTTCTCTGATACTAATTGTATGTGCCGATTTAATCTCTTTACCAAGTTTGTTGTTAAATTTGTTGTAATAAATATAAGAAACACATGAAATAGTAAAAGGGGCACAAGAAAATTGGTGTCGCGGTTTGATAACCACTTACTCCGTGAGATTATGCCCAGATGATGAACAATCCACTAAGTAAACAATGTTACAACTCAAATGGACTTAATTAACCCGAGACTCCCTCTCTAAGTATGACGCCTATGAACTTGTAATTACCCAATAGACTTACTCAGCGAGCACCACTTTGACTTAAAAAGCTACACGGCAAACTCCCTTCGGCTGGCAGTGTCCTCTCTCCCAAAAGCTTCAAATTCTTCTCTCGAAGAACGTTGGTTGAACTCCCTTCAACATTTCAAATCGTCTTCTCTCGAAGATTACAAATTCTTTTTCTGAAGAACGTGAAAAATAAAGACTCACAAAATGAGTTAACTCTCTGTAATTCTGAAGCTCTAAAGTCCCACTAAGATTGTTGTGAGGCTCCAATTAAATGTCCAAAAAAACCAGCTGTAAAAAAACTTTAGGCCCCGTTCGCTGCGTGAATTTGAGTTTTCAATTCGAGCTGAGATGTGACATTTTCTGAGAGCTTTTAACTGTAACAGAAAAAGTTAGATGTGACATTTTTCTGAAAGCTTTTAACTGTAGCAGAAAAAGTTAGATGTGACATTTTCTGAGAGTTTTTAACTGTAAAAATCTAAAACTGAAAACTTGAATTGGTTAAATGAACGAGGCCTTAATGCAGTCCACTGTACACATTCTGTTACATATTATGTTGCAACAATTACTGCAACAGAGCTGAAAAATTTGACGGAAAGTTGATGAGTACTGACCTGCAATAAACAATCCTAGCAACTAACACACACCAATACTAGTCAAACACAGGAGATTAATTGAGAAAGGAGAGCTGAGAATGTCTCAAATTTCTCAGACTAATATTAGCTATGGAAGCAAAAGAATTACAGAGTCCCACAGCTTCGAGGCGCTGCTACCTCCTCCCACTAATTCCCTACCTCACGCCTAGCATCTAGCTCTTTTATTCATGATTCGGTTAGGCCACTAACAAGATTTCCCATGTGACCTATCAACAAGTGACCCCTGTAGCTTAGGTATTTGGGCCCTTCTTGGGCCTCCTGGAATAAACATTACCATACCAAACGTTCCTAACACTCCCCCCCCACACACACACACACCATGACATGCACTTTGTCCTCAAGGTGAAATTCCGAAAACTGAGTAGATATGGCTGAGGTTGAGCCCCATGTGTTTTCAAACGAGGGCAGCCCCTGCCACTTAATGAGGACTTCGTGGTCGCCGTTGAGCAACTTGTGGTTGGCTATGACTTCATCAGTTGCACTTGAAGCTCACCATCGGCGCTAAGGAAAGCAGGATAATCACGAACAGGCTCTTCTGCTTTGATGGCCTTGCGTAGCTAGGAAATGTGAAAAAGAGGGTGGATCTTTGCTGTGGAAGGAAGATCCAACTTGTAGGCAACTACTCCTATTCGCTCCAGCACACGGAATGGGCCATAGAAGCGGGGGCTGAGTTTTTCATTGGGACGAGAGGCCAGCGAGCGTAGTCGATAGGGCTGCAATTTTAGGTAGACTAACTCACCCTCTTGAAAAGTGACATCGCGCCTTTGCTGGTCAACTTGCTTCTTCATGCGATCCTGGGCCTTGAGAAGATTCTCCTTGAGTTCCTGGACAATGGAATTGCGTTCCATTAGCTGCTGGTTCACGTCCTCCACGGGGGAGGGATCATTCGTAAACTTCAAGAGAGTTGGGGGGTCTCGGCCATACAGAGCTCGAAAGAGCTCGAAAGGGTGTCATTATCGCCAAAGACTGGAAGGTGATATTGAACCAATATTCAACCCACATCACCCATTTAGGCCACGTTCCTCGTTTACCTGCAATGAAACTCAGTAAGTAGGTCTCCAAACACCTGTTAACCACCTCCGTTTGCCCATTCATTTACGAGTGGTAAGCGGAGCTAAGTTTTAGCTGCGTCCCGGCTTGCTTGAATAGTTCAGACCAAAATTGGCTAATGAACACGCGATCACGATTGGAAACGATCGACCTTGGAAACCTGTGCAGGCAGACCACCTCGCGAATAAACAAAGTGGTTACCTCTCTAGCCGTGTAGGGGTGGCATAAGGTTAGAAAATAGCTTTACTTGGATAACCGGTCAATGACAACCAAGATCGTATCCACTCATGAGTTTTTGGCAACCCTCCAATGAAGTCAAGAGAGATGTCCTCCCAAACCTGTTGAGGAATGGGAAGTGGTTGTAAGAAGCTAGCGGGGCTAAGAGAAGAGTACTTGTTGCCCTGGCACACATCGCAGGTGGCGACATACTCGTGGACGTCCCTTTTGATGCCATCCCAATAGAGCACCTAAGAAATCTGTTTGTGGGTGTGAAAGAACTCGGAGTGACCCCCTATCGGAGTGGAGTGAAATTCAGCCAACAGTAGGGGAATTTTGGGAGACGTTTTGGGAAATACCAAGCGTCCCCGATGAGTCAGATATCCCCTACTTAATTGGTAATCTGGATGGCTGTGTGGGTCAACGAGGTCTTGAATGATGCGGCGGAGGTTGGCATCCTCTTGCACCTCACGCTCCAGCTCTTCCCAACCTGCAAAGGAAGCAATAGAGATGGCGGCCAATTCATGAAGATTGGCCTTCCTTGACAGGGCATCCGCCACCCGGTTAGAGGTACTCGTCTTGTACTTGATTTCAAAATCAAAGCCCATTAATTTCAACACCCATTTCAGGTGTTCTCCTTCAATAAGATGTTGCTCCAGGTGATATTTTAAACTTTTTTGGTCGGTTTTGATAATAAAGTGTCTCCCGAGAAGGTAATGGCGCCAGTTTGTTACTGCCAAAACAATAGCCATAAGTTATCTTTTATAAACCAAACGAGCTTGGGCCTTTTTTGACAAGGCTTTGCTCCAAAATGCCACTGGCCGGCCCCCTTGCATTAGGACTGCTCCAATGCCAAAGCCCGATGCAGCCGCTTCAAGCTCAAAGGGAGTGCTAAAATCCGGAAGGGTTAATACTGGCAAGGTGGTCATGGCTGTTTTTAGACCCTCAAAAGCCGCTTGTGCTACGGAGTTCCACCCAAAAGACTCATTTTTAAGCAACTGAGTAAGTGGGGCAGCCAGTGCGCCATAGTCTTTGACGAACCGGCAATAATAACCGGTTAGGCCAAGGAATCCCCGAAGCTCCTTAATGTTCTGTGGTACTAGCCAATCCACGACATGAACAATTTTACTGGGGTCAGTAGCTACTCCCTCGCCCCAGATGTTATGGCCCAAGTAATCAATGCTAGTCTGCTCAAACTTGCACTTTTTGCCGTTTAAAACTAAGTGGTTCAATGCTAATAGTTCAAAGGTAGTCCGCAAGTGACTCATGTGGGATGAAAGGTCAGGACTATTATCTAAGATGTCGTCGAAAAACACCAATATGAATTTTCGCAGATGTGGATGAAAAATGTCATTCATAAGACTCTGGAAAGTGAACGGAGCATTACATAAACCGAAGGGCATTACCTTGAACTCATAGTGGCTATCGTGAGTTCGGAATGCCGTCTTGGCTTGGTCAGTCTCCACCACCCGGATCTGATGGCAACCCGATTTGGGGTCGAGTTTAGAGAAGATCTTACTGCCTCCTAACCCATCAAGGAGTTCATCCACTGTCGGAATAGGGAATTTATCTTTGATGGTGATTTATTTTGTGCACGATAGTCCACACAAAATCGCCACCCTCCGTCTTTCTACTTAACGAGCAGGACAGGGCTCGAAAAGGGGTTGTTGCTGGGCCGGATAATGCTTGCTTGTATCATCTCAACCTCAATCTTTTCAATTTCCGCCTTCTGCGAGTAAGGATACCTGTAAGGCCATACATTCAGTGGTGACGCACCACTGACCAAAGGAATGCGGTGGTCCTAGTCCCTCGGAGGAGGCAATTCCGTTGGGGCCAATAAAGGTTGCCGAACTCATGGATGATGCTCTGTAAACCTTCTGGCACTTTGGAAGAGGGGCTATGGTCTTCCGGTTGGATTGCTTGCAGTTTTACAAGTGCTCCTTGTTCAGCTCGTAGTAACATCTTCATAATAGCCTTAAGAGGGGCTTGTTGTTTGGTGTAAGCTAGGTTGCTGTGGAAGGTGACCAGTTGGCCTTCAATGGAGCACTTCATTGTGAGTTGCTGCCAATTAAAACAAACATCCCCTAGAGGTTTCATCCAAGCCACGCCCAAAATCACTTCCGGCACGTCCAGGGGAAAAAGGAAAAAATCTTGAGTGATACATACCCCCTGTATTTCCAATGGGAGGTTTATTCATATCCCACTTCCTCCTTGACGCACTCCATCCCCCATCTTAACTTGAAATGGCTTCGTAGGAGTTACCGGTAAACCGAGCTCCTCCATTAACCGTTGTGAGATAAAATTGTGCGAGGCTCCTCCGTCAATCAGAACGATGACTTCTCATCCCTACACGTTCCCTTTTAGCTTCAAGGTTTGGTTGCCAGTTATCCCCACCAACGAGCTTAAGGAAAGCTCCATTCGGGCATTCTCAATACTCTCTTCTTCTCCCGTCTCGTTCTCATTCAGTGGCCGCTCTTCTCCTTCGACGGTCTCAGCAATAATCATCACGTTGAGGTGTTTATTCACACACCGATGGCCCGGGTGGAACTTCTCATCGCATCGGAAACATAGATCCTTCCTTCTCTTCTCTTGGGCTTCGGCTTCTGTCAAACGGCGGTGGAAAGGGTCTTTTCGGCGTGGAGAGGGTGTCGGAGGAGTGTGGTTCGAAGGAAAAGTGTTGGATGAGTTGTTGAACGGCGGTGGCTTCATTCCCTCGTTCATTGCCGTTTTAGGGTTAAAGGGAACACACCTGGGTTCAAGGTTCTGCATGGACCACGTTACAGCCTCCATCGACCCATAGTTCTTCTGAATGTTCCACGCCTTCCCCCCCCCCCCCCCCCCCCCCCCCTGAACTTATGTTCCAAAGCCCGGCCCAATTCCCAGTTCTTCTCCTCAATTCTCTAGGCCACTTCCATCAGGTCCAGCAAGGTTGGCGTGTGGGCCAACCGCAATTCGGCCCGAACTTCTGTTTTCAATCCATGGAGGAAAGCTCCTCTCATGAACTTGTCAGACGCCTCCAGTAGCGGTGCGACAGCCTCTCAAAGTGGCCGCAATATTCTCCCACAGTCCCCGTCTGCTTGATGCTCATGAGCTCCTCGTATTGGTTGCCCGCCATGGACAGTCGAAAACGCCGGAGCATGGTAGACTTAAACTCGGCCCAGGTACATATTGGAGCACGTGCTTCTAGCCACTGAAAAAAATCCAGTGCTGCGCCATCGAGGTGCACTGCGGCGGCGGCTAGCTTCTCCTCCTCCGGCGTACTGTTGACGTAGAGGAATTACTCCGCTTTAAAGAACCACGCATGTGGCTCATCTCCTGTGAAAAACGGCAGCTTCAGTTTCCGAGGACTCACATACCCCGCTTCAGCCATAATTCCCAGTAATCGGTGAGCTCTCATGCCCCCCTCGCGATCCTCCGTTGAACTACTTGATGAAGACGACTCTGCCTGTAGCTTCCTTTTCTCCATTGTCAGTTTCACAACAACGACATCTTGCAACTGCGAGAGCCCGGTCTGCATCTTGAGCATCATTTCTCGCATGGCCGCCATGTCGGTCTGGTAGTTCGTCATTCCCTCTTCAATGGCGCTCAGCCTTCCCTCCATTCTCGTGTTTCCCATACCCAGGTATCGACGCTCTGATACCAAGTTGATGAGTACCGACCTGCAATAAACAATCCTAGCAACTAACACACACCAATACTAGCCAAACACAGGAGATTAATTGAGAAAGGAGTGTTGAGAATGTCTTAGAGCTCTTAGACTAATATTAGCTACGTAAGCAAAATAATTGCAGAGTCCCACAGCTTCGAGGCATTGCTACCTCCTCCCACTAATTCCCTACCTCACGCCTAGCATCTAGCTCTTTTATTCATGATTCGGTTAGGCCACTAACAGAATTTTTCATGTGACCTATCAACAAGTGACACCTGTAGCTTAGGTATTTGGGCCCTTCTTGGGCCTCCTGGAATAAACATTACCAGACCAAACGTTCCTAGCAAAAGTCAACCACGCTGATTCTTAAAATCTTCCCATATAAAAGCAGACGAACCTGCACCTCAGAAACATGAGTGATTCATACAGCCCACAAAAACTCAACCATAAATCAATCATTTCATCAATTTCAACTTGCCAAAAATATCCGAAAATTAACTTCCACCAAATCAAATCAATTTGATTGATTCCAAACAGTTTCCATATATACTAAACTTTCTAAAAATGTTTTTTTAACAGCTGCCAATAAATTATGCAATCATTTCATCATCAAATTATGCCCAGAATAATGCTAAAAATCAAAAACCAATTGAATATGAAACTTTTCAAAAAAGATTCCTGCAGCAAATCAATCTCCAAATGAATTCAATGCTGCAAATCAATCTCCATATCAAACCCAAAATCAATTCTTTCAATTTACAAAATAATGCCAATGAAAAATCCCAACATGGTATTTGGGGTTTTTGCCCCCGAACATTTGCATATTGACAAGTTATTTTGAACATTTGATTTTGATAAATTGGCCTCTAAATTTAATAAACTGTTGCAAAGTAAACTGTTGCAAAGTGCCCCGTATAGCTGAAGAATGTTCATATGTTGATGGAAACGTGAGCTCTTTGATGGGCAAAGACTAGAATTTCGGATAACAACAAAGTTGTCACGTCATGTTCACAGGGCACTTCCGTTCAAATTTTAACTGCTCTTGTTCTTATTAATTTGGGGATACTTGGAAATACCCTATTAACTTCATGAAGCCATTTGCCAAAATTAAAAGTTTATGGGGTAACTTGTCAGCTAACAAAATTTTTGGCGGATAAAAGTTCCAAAAACCCGTTTTCTGTCAGAATAAATCCCATCTCCATGTCCCCTAGCTATTAGTTGGTCGATTACTATATTTTACTGGTACTTTATTTTGATTGGTATTTAGAGTGAAGTAAGAATCATAATCTTGAGAGCTCTTGTATTTGGTGAGCACTACATATTATTAGAGCTGCCTTGAAGCTTTAGTCACCATATGACTCTCTTGTCACTAATCCTGTTCATGTTTTTATGATCTTCCTTGTTTTCAGATACTGCGGAGGAGATTGAGGGATATAAGAAGTGGTGAATTGAGAGCTCTAAAAATCTTCAACGGGTTGCGGAATTTTTTCAAATAAGATGATTTCTTCGCGCGTAACGTTGCCATCCGTTACAAATGAAACTTCACCGCGATCCAGATCCCATGGCCATCTTGTGAGATATGTGTAAAAGAGGTAGACATTGAGAAAAATGTAATTCATTTAGAAGCGGATTCAGTCATGTAAAGAGATGTAATGTGACAAACACCATATAGTAGCAATTCTGCACTCTCGTCTTTTTTGAGGCTCCATAAGCTATTTGAAGTTGACACAATGACATGATTTCTGAGTTGTTCGAGTGAATAGTTAATGAGACGTTTGGTAAGAAAATTCATATCATAAGGAAATCCTCCTCCGTATGCATATAAATTAATGAAAATACTAGAAATGTTACTTCTATATATACGCAATAAACTGTAATTGTATTCTCCCAAACTTCAAAACATAATCACATACAAAATCACTCGACCATAACATTTAAGTACATACCAAAACTATAATCTTTATCGTAGCAGGGGAAAAAAAATCTTCCTCGCATGGATATAGATTAATGAAAATACTAGAAATGCTACTTCTATATATACGCACGATAGGGGAAAAAAAATCTTCCTCGTATGGATATAGATTAATGAAAATACTAGAAATGCTACTTCTATATATACGCAATACCAATCTATTCACCAACCACATTAGTCATTTGCTAAAACAAAAAAATGTTTATACGCAATACCAATCCATTTACCAATTATAATTCTAAATCTATAAACTAAATGTTATCTTAAAGTTTTTTAGGGAGTTTTTTTGATAGTATTAGAAAAAATGAAATACTGAATAATTTTGTATTTTTAACTGTTAAATCTGTATCAAAAACTGTATTTTTTGTATATTTTTTTAATCTAATATGATTTTAACAAGATTAATAATAAGAAATTAACACTACCAGTAAGAAGGTCTATCAGAAAAAAATTCTAATTTTTTAATTCTTATCCATATATTGGCTTCCGTTATCTATTAAATTTTTAAATTAAAATCTTAACTTAAATCACCTTAATTTAAAAAATACAAACGAACAAACCTTTTATATATCCAAGTTCAAATCCTAAAATATCAAATTATCCAACTTGCAAATAACAAAAAATTCAGGGTGCATTGCTAACAAAACCAACAAAATCCAATCTTACCATGCACCCAGAGGCAGCATATCCTGGCCCCAACTGAAGCGCTCCTCCGACAGACAGAGAGAGAAATCTTGTTCTGTTCGTCCCTGATCCTTATATATAACTGAGCCCAAGCCGCCACAATCAGCAGAGAGAGAGAGAGACACCAGCCATAGACGTTAGAGACAGAGAAAAGAAAAGTCCATTGATGGAGGCGTTCGTTTCATTCCAGGCCATTCCGTCCGTCTCTCGCTTACCCAAATTCTCATTCCTCAAATCCACCCCTGGAATCTCCTCCCTCTCTCTTCCTTCTCACTCTTCTTCTCCTTTCGCCATTCGAGCTCAACAGGTTTTTCTTATATCTTATTTTTTTTTATTTTTGCTTCTTAAATAAATCCGAACTCGAATTTATGTGATTTTTAATCTGGGCTTTTGGTTTTCTTTCGAAAAAAGATGGAGTCAAAGGATGGTTCGGCTACAGTGACTCCAATAAGTGAGGATTCTGAATCCGAAAATTCTCTCGAAATAAAGGAATGGGAAGTGGGTATGTTCCAAAACGAGGTGGCTGCTAGCCAAGGAATAAGGATCAGGAGAAGACCTCCAACAGGAGCCCCTTTGCACTATGTGGGACCCTTTGAGTTTCGCTTGCAGAATGAGGGAAACACCCCTCGTAATATCTTGGAGGAAATCGTATGGCACAAAGACACTGAAGTCTCACAAGTAAAGTCAATATTTCACTTACACTTTGTTTTCTTTTTTTTGTTCTTTTCCTTTTTTTGATTTGATGGGTTTTGTTTGTATGATGTTTTGTTTACTTTATGGTGATATTTGGCTTACTTTCAAGTAGTTGAAAGAGAGGAAACCTCTATCGGCATTGAAGAAAGCTATGGAGAATGCTCCTCCAGCTAGAGACTTTGTTGGAGCTCTCAAGGCGGCTCATTTGCGAACTGGACTGCCCGCTTTGATTGCTGAAGTGAAGAAGGCTTCTCCTAGCAGAGGTGTCATAAGAGAGAATTTTGATCCAGTGAGTTGCTTTTCTTGTTTATATATATATATACATATATATATTTTAATGTAAATATTGTATATCATGTTTTTGTTTCTGGATTTGATTTCCTTGAGGCTTGAACATATATGCTCTATTGTGACTTGTGAGTTCTTAACTTGGCATAGCATTATGTTCTCTATTACATTTGTTGCGTAGTTTTTCCAAAAGGGCTGAAATGGAAGATGGTAATTTTCATGATTGCAATTTTGAGACCGACTTTGTGGAAACAATATATTCGGTATAAGATGTTGAAGAATAAAGAGTTTATGAACCTAGACCTATTATGAGTTTCTGCCACTAGAGTAATGAGTGAATTATTCTTGAGTTTCTTTGTATGATAGGTTAGTCCCCTAATACTGATATGTCTCAGGGGTTGACCTCATAATATGTTAGAAAACTTGCAAGAACCCTCAAAGTAGTCACAAATTATTGTGTTTTTCCTTTATTTTTTTTTTCACAGATTGTTGTTTTAATTTTCATGTGATAGGTTGAGATTGCCCGAGCTTATGAGAAAGGTGGAGCAGCTTGTCTTAGTGTTTTAGCAGATGAAAAGTATTTTCAGGTGAGAACGAGTTTAGTATCTTCAGATAATTACACTTGGAAATTCTTCGCCATTGAAGCTGAATAATTAGCTATTCTAACTTGCTTCTTGTTTTATCCATAGGGAAGCTTTGAAAACATTGAGGCAATAAGGAACGCAGGAGTAAAGGTCTGTGCCATTAGCATCTTGTTGCTCAATCGATTATGGTGATGAACATGCGCTAGAATTTATTATTGGTGTGAGTGATCACTGACACTTAAAAAATATGCAGTGCCCTCTTCTCTGCAAGGAATTCATCATTGATGCGTGGCAGATCTATTATGCTAGAACTAAAGGTGCAGACGCCATTCTTTTGATTGCTGCTGTTTTGCCTGATCTTGACATCAAATATATGACTAAAATCTGCAAGCTACTTGGTTTAGCGGCACTTGTTGAGGTTCTGATTCTACACCTTTCTAAGTTGTTGTGATTGATTTTCTTGTTTAGTTGTTTTAGCTCAAAAAGTTGTGAGATGCCTCATTCTGTCTTGATCATTGATTCTGTTACCACTTGATGTTATTCTAGAAAGGATTAGTCTGGAATATGATTTGATGAAATTGGTTAGCATTGCTCTGATTCTCATGTCCATAATGTTATCGGTCCTGATTTAAGGACATTTTCATCTGTTTCATCTGTTTCAACTATTCAAACTTTTTAAGTTTTTACAAGTTGGAAATAGGACTTTATTGGGTGTTCTCAGTGTTCTTCTCTCTCTCTCACACACACTTTTTATTTACAAGTTTTTCATTTTGATTAACCTTTCCGTATACTTGCAGGTGCATGATGAGAGGGAAATGGACCGTGTTCTTGGGATAGAGGGGATCGAGCTTATTGGCATCAATAACCGCAACCTTGGTAAGTATGGTGAATGAAGGGTTAGTACTAACATTATTTTTTGCATGTGCATCACTGGCTTAATGAAATACGTGTTTTAATGTTCATTTTGTTTACTTGTTCGCATAGACTTCTCAATGTAATATGTTGTTACTTTCTTATTCTCAGAAACGTTTGAGGTTGATACAAGTAACACAAAGCGGCTTCTAGAAGGAAAGCGTGGTGACTTGATCCACGAAAGAGGCATAATTGTGAGACGCTTGTTAATCAATCTCTTCACTAGTCAACATATGCACAAGTTCTTTTTGTGTACATCATGTTGTGGTGTAGTGGAAATTCTAATGTTATAAATATAGACACTCTTATATGCTCATTCTTTCGTTTTGTATCATTTTTCAGGTGGTTGGGGAATCTGGGTTGTTTACTCCTGATGACATTGCTTATGTACAAGAAGCCGGTGTTAAGGTGGTATGATTGCAAAACTCTACGCTTAAATTTAAAAACAATGTGACGTTCAAACTTCATAAAAATTGTGTATGAGTAATGGATTTGTAAAAATTACTCGATTGGTTAAAATTTATTTGCAGGTTTTGGTTGGAGAGTCAATTGTGAAGCAAGAAGATCCTGGGAAGGGAATCGCCAAACTCTTTGGAAAGGATATCTCTCTATGAAGTTAAATTAGCAACTTATCAAAAAGGAAAAACAAATAAATTAGCAAGTTTCTACAGCTTATTTGTTGTAATCTGCAAGAGTAATGTTTAACAGAGACTAGGTTCATACCAAATAGTATATGATCTTTTTATGTTTCCTCTTTTGTTGTGCTTTCTTTCTTAGCATTTTGACATTTTCTAGTTACATCCAAATAATTTGGTAGCCAACTAGCCGTCGATGTTCCACCTTATGGTGTGTTGGAAAAGTTGTTACCATTATTTAAGAATTTTAAGTTAGGGGTAAAGTACAAAATGATGCCAAGGCTTAGTTTTGAAACATTACATTTTTATGAAGTTTCGTTATATGTTGTAATAAAATTAATTCGATAGGATTACAATGTGATGTGCAAATTTGTTGGGGTTTGTGAATGGGAAAATTTTGAGAATAATTAGGTCTCATTCGCTTTGCGGATTCGAGTTTTTAATTCGAGTTGAGATGTGACATTTTCTAAGAGTTTTTAACTGTAGCAGAAAAAGTTAAATGTGATATTTTTTAAGAGTTTTTAACTGTAAAAATTTAAAATTAAAAATTTAAATCGGTGAAATGAACGAGGATTTAAGAACCTGATTTGTGGCTTATTGGTAGGACAAAATGATGGTGATTATTGACCATGAAGTTTGACCTTTAACATTTCAAAACTACCGTCCCTGTATTTGGAAAATGTCAGCTGTGTATTTGCTAAAAATTGATATTTTTGTACTTATTTAAGTATCGTTTATTTTACCGATTTAAGTTTTTAATTTTAAGTTTTTATAATTTAAAATTCTTAAAAAATATCACATTTAATTTTTTTTGTTATAGTTAAAAATTTTAAAAAAATATCATATCTCAACTCGAATTGAAAATTTAAATCTGTGAAGCAAAAATGTTATTTTCAAAAAATGAGGGTAAGTATTGCACGCTCGTAATCGTAATCATGCTTTTCACTCTAACTAGTATGGACACGTGCCTTAGGCAGGTATTTGTTATATTTTTTTCCTTCGAAAACTCTAATAAAATTTATACAAAAAATTATTTATCAACATTAAAAAGGAATAAAAGGATATATAATAAATTTTTGTTTTCAACCATGCATATTTTGTAATTTGTAGATGAAATTACAGAATTAGGATTAGACGATATATGCACAATTTTCTCAATTTGGTTATTTTTCTTTATGATTTCAAAGACAAAATATTTTTTCTAAATTTTTTTTTTTTGAATGGTGATATGAAGATTTCTATGGACTTTTTACTGCTGCATATTGTTTAGCCAACCTTTCAAAAAGAATTAAGAAATAATGGAACATCTATAAGTACTTGAAAGAAGATTAAGTAAATAAATAATGCTATATCCATTCACTTCAATGAAAAATAATAAGCAACCTTTTCTAGTTAAGTAACTTATAAATATGCCAAGTATTTTAGATAGGCAATATTGAAGATAATTATTTGGTAAACAATATTTGAGATCATATTAAGAAGTGGTTGCCACGCATATTTTTAAAGCAATTAAGCAAATCTCTAATAAACAAATAAGATTAAAGTATATTTACTAAAAAACAATAACCTTTCAATTTCCTTTTTAGTGAACTAACGCTTTAATTATACAATTTTTTTATAAAATTTTACCTAGATTCAATATTATTTATTTAAACAATAAATTCTAATAAAATTAAAAGTATTAATTCAAATATTACATTATGTATCATATGAGAAAACTATAAAATTATCTATTACTAAAAAGGCATTACATTGTCTGAAAGAAAAAAAAAATATTTATGGTCATCATATTCTAAGAGAAAAACATTGTGGGCTTGTTGAGGGAGCGACATGGTGACTCAAGACGGGGGGAAGAGGGCGGCAACTTGGGCTCACGTGGAGTCGGGGCTACAAAACCGTTGTGAGATATATGATTTGTTTCCATACAAAATTATTATTTAGGTCATTCTAAATAATTAAGTGCCCTAATATTTTTTTTATTTTTTATTAATTAAATAATAATTATTTATTTTTAAGTGAAATGATTATAAGTGGTATTTTTTCTTAAAGATTATGTGATGAGGACATATCAATAATCCACACATTTCTTTAAACTCACCTTTGAGAAAATCTTCTAATAAGAAATTATAGGGAAAAAAATCTTGAAAAACAGTGTTATGTTTGAATTTTGAAGTAGTTTTTATTATTATTATTGTTTTTTTAAAATCACCCAACAATACATAGCAAGCCCAAGGTGGTTCTTTAGGAGGGAAAAGATGAAATTAAAAAAAAAAAAGAGTAATTGAAACGAATGATCCCTAAACTTGTTAAAAAGTGACAGTTTAATCTTTAATTTTTTGTTGACGAAACGAACTACAGACCATTTAAAAGGGTACAATGTCATCTTTTTTGTTAAATACCGTCTAAAAATAGAGACTAAATCTTAACTTATTAAAGTTAAATGAGACTAAAAATTTACCTCATAAAGAAATAAGAGACTATAATATCACATTTTTAAATTATTATGTCATTATTTTTTAGATGACATCTGACAAAAAAAACTATATTACATCCTTTAAAATAATTTAGAATTTATTTCGTTAAAAAAAATTGAGAATTAAACTATCATATTTTAAAGAGTTTAAGAATCATTGCAATTCATCTTAAAAAAAAAGTTGATTACTGTTATCTATTTTTTCCATTAATAAATAATCATAACAAAAGTGGCACAGTGATATGCTGCCACGTAAAAAGAACTTTGCAAACTACACAGTCGCTTTCTGACTTCTTGTGTACGGCAAGCAGCGCACGTCCTGCTTCCACCGTTTCCATTCCACCCACGAACAGTCGCCCTGTCAGAGCTCTCTCTTTCTCTTTCTCTCTCTACATTTCCATTCTTCTAGAGGTCTCGCCAAAAAGGATGATCATAGAAGCACTGCCAGCTCCGAATCCAATATCGGAGCCGGAAAGCGGAAATGGCGACGAGGCGACTTTGGAGTTCAGGTCGTACGGCGACGACGCCTGGTACAGCGTCCGGGTTTGGGCGGAGGGAGACTCCGGCGACGGCGAGCATCTCCGCGTCAGGTATTGCGGCTTCCCCGACGCCCACGACAACGTTTTCCGGCGAGACGACTTCGGAGAGCTTAAGAAGCTGGACGACTTCGCGGCCAGGTTCAGGCCGATCTCCCTTCAGCTCCAAGACTCCGAGTGCTCCCGCGCCCCCACGGGCTTGCTCGTCTGCGCCTCCCACTATTTTCGCGACGACGACGTTCGCTTCTACGACGCTCTCGTCGAGGCGGTTCGTCTCCCTCCCTCTCTCTCTCTCTCTATAATCCCTAGCTTTCTTGATTCTATTTTTTGTTGCTGTTATGCGATTTTGTGGTTTTTCTGGTTCTTTTTCTGCTTCATTTGATTCCTCTGGCTCTCCGTTTTCTATGTGAGTGTGACTCTTTTGTGTTTGTTTCTGTTGTTGTTGAGGAACAAAAAGGACAATCGAACCTCCAAAATCTGGAGGTCTTTTTTTTATTTTTATTTTTAGAATTTATGGTTCTTAGTTTTGATGAGTTTTTGCTTTTTGTGTTACTGAAATGAAATGCTTCCTTTTCATGTCTCTGTTAGTACGGCATTATCTCTGTGAAACGTTCTCTTCGGAAATTAAACCCAGTTTTAGTTTTAAGAAATGGGCATGTTCTATGAAGCTTGAGTCTGAGCAATGGAGATAATGTCATGCTTGTTTCCGAAGGAGAAAGAAAGAATATGACAGCACTAATTTATGGAGTTTAGGGGTTTTGCTTTTCGTTTTTTCTAATATAAGAAGATTACTGTATTGCTGAGAATAAATAATTGTCTGGTTAACCAATGTTCATGAAAGCTAAAAGCAAGGTTAATGTGGAAGATTTAAAAGGGAGTCCGTAGTATGCTGATCCTATGTCAAATTTAATTAGTTGCTTCATTCTAAGCGAGCCATAAAGGAAATAAATTGAACCACTTCTAGGTGGTATCATTTTTGGTATGAATGCGGTTAGCTCAAACTTAAAGGTAAGTTTGTACTTGGTTTATGAGAAAGATGAGAAAAGAAATTTATTTTGTACCTTTTTATTGTCAAGGAAAAAAGTTATACTTGTTAGACTATCTCTAATGCAAAGGCTAATGCCAATTGTATATTTGGCATCAAAATGTATGATATGGTATGTTAGAGCATCTCTAATGCAATGCTATAATTGATGTGTCAATTGTAAATTTAGCATTTGAGTGCAAAAAACACTCTCCAATGCAAAGCTATTTGTTGTGCTAAGTTTTGACAAATTTCTCACCAAGTATGGCATTTGGGAAATTTGGCATTTGATTGTTATTGGTTGAAATGTTTACTTTTTCCATGTAATCAATGAAACTTTTGCATTTTCTAATTATTTTAAAAATAAAAGTTTACTTTTATAAGTTTCAAAACTTAATAATTATAGGAAAAAGTAGATTTAGCATTTCAAATAGCATTATCAATTGCAGCAAAAGTGAAAATAACATATCATATCATACTTTTTGATGCTAAATATACAATTGGCATTAACATTTGCATTGGAAATGGTCTTATTTTCATTTTTGCTCCAATGCATAATGTTGTTTGAAATGCTAAATTTGTTTTTTCCTATAATTATTAAGCTTTGAAAGTTGTAGAAGTAACATTTTATTTTTAAAATAATTAGAAAATGCAAAAGTTTCAATGATTACATAAAAAAGTAAACACTTCAACCAATAGCAATAAAATGCCAAATTTCCTATATGCTTTACTTGGTGGGAAATTTGCCACAGTAAAGCATATGAGAAATTTTGCACAACAGGTAGCATTTCGTTGGAGAGTTTTTTTTGTACTCAAATGCTAAATTTGCAATGGCACATCAATTATAGCATTGCATTGGAGATTCTCTTACACGTTCAACCGTTGAAGCTAAACACGATAGAAATTCAGTTAGAGAATTTGTTTGGTTAACACGGATTGTATGTTTATGGTAGCAAAAGGGGAGGCATGATTTACGAATGCACTATTTTTAACTTTTGCTTTATCAATTTCTGATGATTTTTGGGCATTGCAATGGGAGTAACCCTCTCCCTTACCCGTAGTCTTGCTCCTAAGTCCTTGAAATTTGGGTCAGAGACTTTACCAGCTTAATTAGCTGACACATTTGTAACTTCTGTATTCTACAGTGTATGTGTACTTTAGGCGCTCTTACTTGATAGGACTTATTCTACATGGGATTTTTGCTAAATGTGCTCATTTATGAATTGCGGCAATTGCTCTGATCTTGTTTCCTTAGGTGGATCGTGCTGAACATTCTTTTGTCAAAGGAGAAGAAGAGTGTTCGTGCACCTTTACTCTATCTTGGTTGCACGGTCCTAATGTTGGAAATTATACTGCTGAAAATATCGGACAGATATGCAGAGTCCAGTTTAATGAGGAAATTGATCCTACTGTGGCCTCTTTTATTAGGGCAGCGAGAGAGAAAATTCACATGGCTTCTTATATTTCAAACTTGAGTCCTAAGTTTGAAGTCGGTAAAGGTTTTACTCCTAATGTTCATGGAGAAATTCCTAAGATGAAAATTGGGCACAAGCTAAGCTTCTCTCATCATTTGAAGCAGGCAAGTATCCTGTCTCCCAACTTTTTGAGTTCTGTCTCTAGTTGTGGCACTTTTAGTAAAGTTAAGTCATTGGAACAATATTTGATGGTCTCTTATCCTGTATTATTTCATGTGATTTGCTTGTTTGTAGGGAACGAGGTGCACCAACTGGTCTTTGAGTGATTCGATGTTGTCCAAATGTCTGTACACTTTGCGCTAGCTTATTTACTTATTCTTTTGACTATTATGACCCAGTTTGGGATTGCTGTGCTTTTGGAAAAAGAACACTACTTCTACTATTAAAAGAAAAAAGAAGTCGAAACCTGAAAAATCGGGCTTATCAAAATAACTATAGAAGTGCATCATGGTCTATGCAAAGTGCTTTTGTGCACTTTTAGAAAAGGGAATGTGCAAAGTGATTTTACGGACTCAAACAATCCCAAGCTTGTTTTATATGTGATTATGCTTGATAAATAGGCTCCATCACTTATTTTATCTGCAGTTGTTCTTGGAGTGCAGGGATAATCGGCTATCCTTGTGAAAGGATTGGACAAGACACAGATTTTGGAGGTGTTGACGACTATTATTTGATAGTTGTTGAGAATCTTGAGAAAGACTTAACGCCTTTGGCAATGATGGAATTCATAAGTAAAGAAGCAAAAGTCTTATCTCAAGCATTTATTCTACCAAGTTTGTCATCGGATTACGTTACAAGAGGTAATATTCTGTTGGACAGCAGAAGGAATTTTGAGAGGTTATGTGACTTTTTGGAGAACCCAGATCAGGTCGTTGTGTCTTCAAATGGAAGGTAATTTCACACTGAAGTTGTTATTGCTGCATATCTATGTTCTTATGTGTTGGTTCTTCTCGATTTCCCCCCAGTATTTTCTTAAGAAATCTTTCTTAAGTTTGACATCGTCATTCATGTATCTTTATGTATGTTAAAGAGTTCGGCTCATGTAGAGAGACTGTGATTGAGAAATACGAAATGAGTACTGAAATTTGTGATTATAAATTGTCTAAATTATTCGATGAAAAATAACTGACATTTTATGTCCTACTTTGAAGATTTTCATTTATTTATTTATTATTTTTTTTTAGTATTGAACAATTTTGAAGCTTGAATGAGTTGATCTTTGCTTTATGTTTGAGTGTGTCTTCAATAACTAGTTGCTACTGCTACTATATCCATCTTATGATGGTGTTATGCAAATCAGACAGGAACTGTTAGGTATGCACTATACTTAAGCAAGAGAGTTGACCTCTAACTATTACTTACCATCCAGCGGGGATCTGGATATGATCTTCAACTTTGTTTATTGCTTGCTTTGGTGTTCATTACTTTCACATTGTTTGCAGGCCATGGGTGATAACAGAAAAAATGTCAGTGCGTGATGCACTTCTAGTATCAATTGAGACCTTTGCGCTTATATCCCAGGTTAGTTTTCTAGTACTGAATAAATTTTAGATTTCGATTCTTGGGAGTGGTTGATGAAGGTGAAGATGCACTTTTCACTTATAAGAACATTACCTAAAAGGTTTTACCTGAAAATGAACTCCCTATTGATAGGGCCTTGAGATGACAAAAATCTTCCTTTGCAAATTTCTCCTCGTAACAAAGACCTCAGTTTTTTTTTTTTTTTTTTTTTCTTGTCCAACCCCGCTGCGCTACTTTTCTAAGAAAGAGCAAAGTAGAATTCAGTTTTAGCTAGTGCATACACTCCATTTCCATTTGCATAATTGATTTTGGAATCCAATTTTTTGCAGAAGATTTTAGGGAAGACTAAAAATATTGGAAGTGGCAGTGGATTGAAGGTTGTGCGAAGAGGAACCGTTGAATACACGATTGCCAAGAAGCTAAGCAATTTGTACAAAGAATTTTCTAATCATCAGAAAAAACTGCAAAAGAGGCTGATTGTTGACGAAGGAAAAATCTGGCAAGAATATAATGCAGAGCGCAGAGTTAGAAGTTAGCTCCTTCTGCATGTCCTTTCAATAGTCACATTCATTAACATGTTTTGGTGCCTTTTACTTTGTAGGAACGTCTTGGTTAAAGTTAGGTTACCACAGTTGATTTTGCTTGTACAAAACACATGAAGAAAAAAAAAAAAAAGAAGCAAAGTGTACGGGATTACAGTTTGGTGAGTTTGTATACAGATCCATTGTCACAGTTGGGGCATATTTTTGAGACCGAATAGTTGCTATGTAAATGTTATACGATCATATCTATCCTATTGTGTCAACAATCTTCATTTAATTTCTTTCCCGTGGTCCGTGTTTGGCTGCCAATTTTTTGCCAAGAGAAAATTAGGGGATCCACCTCTGCTGACTCTCTTCTTTATATTTTTACATTTTGTGTCGTTTCTGCCTTGCCCCATTGAAGTTATTATGGTCTTGTTCGTTTTGCGGATTCGAGTTGAGATGTGATATTTTTTTAAAACTTTTTACTGTAGTAAAAAAAGTTAAATGTGATATTTTTTAATAATTTTTTACTGTAAAAATTTAAAACTGAAAACTCGAATCGGTGAAATGAACGAGACCTATATGACGGAAACAAGGGCACAACCCTTATGGTTATACTCACTCACCGGAAGGGCATTAGATTTCCTTGAAAACATAAACAGACAAATCAGTCATCAACAGTAGGGTGGTTGTTTTTTTTTGTTTTTGTTTGTCTTTTTATTTTTTTTATTTTTTAAAGATCTGTTATTCAAAAAGAAACATCTTCTAGTACATCATATAATAGGTGGTAGAACATTTTCCTACCACACCATATCCTCTAAGGAAAAAAGAAAGAAGACATTTAACGTCAGATACGAGATTCCCAAACTCAGTAATAATGGGAGAGTTGGAATGAAGTCTCTGAATAATTTCTAAGGTATCACTTTTAATGAAATAACGTGGCGCCAACATCTCTAGTCCAAATAAGACTGATTGGGAGTAGTAGCTTTAGCCTCCTTGGATGAGAACTTTCCTACTCGTCGAGAAGACTGAGCAGCCAAACAATTAACAAACCTTCATTGTCTCGGATCAAGGCGCCAATTCCAACTGGATTTCCTTGTGAAGAGATTCATGTATCAATATTCATTTTGTGTTGCCTAAGGACCCATTTGGTATTGTTTTTAGAGGTTGTTTTTTAGCCTTTTTAAAGAAACTACAGTAGGTTGGAGTGTTTAGTAAATCATGCTTTTATCCGGTACTTCTAAAACATGCTATTAAATAGCAGAATTTAATAAGCATGTCAGGGGTTGTTTTTACACAACAACTTATACTGCAATTATCCAAATTTATTAAGATAACCTTAATAACAAAACTTAATTCTCAATATACCTATTTCACTTTTTTCATATCAAATTAAAAAATATGCATTTTTAAAATAATTATTTAAAAATTGAAAATCTGTAATAAGTATACTATGCTAAATTTCATCAAATATTTTTAATAATTATCAAAATATTTAAAAATAACAATATAATAAATTTTAGTAGATGAATTATTTTTCTCCTTGAATAAAAGTAATTTATTTTTAAGAACTATTTTAACTAATAAAATTTAAAATATATTTTTTATATTATGAATATTGACCAAAAAAGTATAAATAAAGCTAACTATAAACATGTGTGATAAAGTATGTCTACTTTCGTCACTATACATTTCAACAATAATTTTACATATAGTTTATCAAACACCTAAATTTTTACTTCTGGTACCCAAACACCTATATGTTTCTAGTCACAACAACTTATTACTAACAGTAGAACAACAACAAAAATTTTTAACAGCACAACAATGCCAAATTGGCCCTAACAAGAGGAGCCGTCCAAGTCTTGTTAGAACCCAATAATGGAATTGTACGCCTTTTGTCACCAATTTGATTATTAGGGAGAAAATTATAAATTCTACCTCCTTAGCTCTTAGGTACCTAACTTATTAAAAGTACTCATTTTAAAAAACTCAAATCCTTGACTAGTTCTAGTCTAAAAGATAAAAATATATGGACTACTATTAAGGGATAAAAATAAAAAATGACTCCGTGAAGTACTTTTAAAAATTACTCTTTGATTAGTCTACGCATAGTCCCTTAATAAGTAAGAAGTCCATGAAGGGATATGACAATAGGCCAATTATGTACCATATTGTTCCGTTCATTTTAAATTACATTTTGACCCCTTAATTTTTATAAAATTATATTTTGACCTCAAATTTTTTTAAAAATTATATTTTGGTCCTTTAATTTTTGTACAATTATATTTTTTTACCCCAAATTTTTTTAAAAAATTGCATTTGAACCCAAAATATTTAGAATTTAAAATTTTGACTCTTTATACAATACGTCATGAGATCAAATACTATATTATATTATGATAGTACAACATAATACAATACACTTTATACAATACAACAAATACAAACCGTCAAACATGGTCTAAAAGTGTCTTAAATGGCAAGTAAAATTTCCTAATTATATCCACTAGTGACATTGGAATCACATTGACTTGGACCCTTGAAGACTCCCTTGGCAGCACCGGCGGTGTCACATTTTTTCTCATCATAACAGTCTTGAACCTTAGAAACCTAGGGCGGTTGTGGGTCGAGGTCGGGGCTGCTTTGTGTTCCCAGGCTTGATTTGACATTAACAACTTTTTTCTAACAGCTGTAGTTGGGAGCTTTAACGACACCATCTTCAACATGCCTTGCTTCACCTCTATCGAGTCTATCCTCGTTGGCTATGGCCTCTTCTCCTACAGTAGAAGCTTAGTTCTCACTCAAAAGGTTCCTAACAAGATGGTCACAGTACACCTTCACAAGCCATGATCTCTCAGTGATCTTGTCGATGCACTTCAACACTTCATTTTTCGTCTTTGCGTAAACCAAATCATCCTCACCAAGGATTTTGAAGTAATAAATATGGAGTGTCCCTCACAAGCTCATTGGCTGTCTTTTCACTATCGCAATAGTCTATGTAGCATAATGAAACATCCCAATAACTTCTCCCTCACAACCTTATTCATTGAGCCGTCATTGTGAACAACACAACAAGGAAAAACGAAACGCGTAGCACGAGTCACCAAGCAGCCAACGAGTGGGCGAAATGAGCTGTCAGCCCCGACCACCAACATGCTCACCACTAGGTGCAATGCGATACCAAGGGGTGCAATGCCCCAAAGTTGCAGGGCCGGCAGAGCACATATGCATCTGAATATGGCAGCCGAAAACGCAATGCCTACCCCCAGCCAAGTACCTTACCACCATAGCTGCCTCCCGAAAGCATCCTCCGCCCCCACCATCAACAAGACATCATCAATGCCAGCGTTGAGACACGGGTTTCAAGGCTGGGAGTTTGGAGATCCACCTCTGGACTCCGGCCCTTGAAGAAGCAAAACTAAAGGAGCTCCTAGAGCGGCACAAAGAGAGAGCTCTAGTTCTTTTTTTTTTTTTTTTTAATTTTTAATTTTAATTTATTTATTTTTTGCAATCTCTGTCGTATTGTAGAATTGGACATAAATCAAACTACACTTATTCCACAATCAGTAACCTTTAAGGCATTTTTTTGGGTGGACAATAACACATGAAAGACAGCAACATGAAAGGGAAAGAATTGCCACACCGGAGTAGTAGGCCTTTCTGTATCCAAAGATAAAACTGTACCTTACAGCTGCATTCCATCCAGTAATAAAACGGACACAAAATCATGCCACGATCTTAATTGTTATCCCCAAATTAGCTTCCAATTAACTTCTTTTTCCTTTTTTTTTTTTTTTTTTTTTTTTTTTTTTTTTTTTTTTTTTTTTTTTTTAAAAGAAATCACCCAAACATGAAACTCATGGTTGCATACTTATATTTGAAAAATATGAAACTCGTGGTTGAAAAATATGAAACTCGTGGTGGAAAAATATGAAACTCGTGGTTAGTTGGTTACATACTTGCAATGAGAAATATGAAACTCGTGGTTACTGACCGAGTCATGGATGGAATTTCTTGAAGCATACAACTAGACTTCATAAACAAAAATTACAAAATTCCTATAATCTACCACCTTTCACATCAATTTTTTTCTTTTTTCTTTTTTGGCACTTTTTCCCAAAGAATGAACCTTTTTTTTTTTTTTTTTTTTTAATCTTTTGGGAACAACAGGGCTGGAAAGACCCACTCTCAAGACTTTTATAGTTTGTTTGTCAACACATGCAATACCATCCGACAAGATGAGTGCAATAGGAGAAGAGCGATTTGTTGCAAACACTACTGGAAAGATATTACCTCTGAAATAGATACACTAAAATATTTATTGAAAAAAGTATAGGAAAAATAGTCTCCGCCCGAAAAAAAGGAAGGAAAACAAATGAAAAATGTTGAATAAGAAGGAATTTTGATGGTCACAGGGAATTCTACTCTCTCAGAAGGCTCTTAACGTTAGTACTTCCGAGTTTACTCGCCAGTGCAAGAGAAGCGCGCATCAGACTAGAAGATGGAGAAAAAGGCTTAGAGAAGCTCTACTACAAAAGCAGATGCACCACCTCCGCCATTGCAAACACCACCAACACCATATTTACCATTCTTCTGCTTCAGCACCTACAACACCGTTAAACTTCGGCTAAGAGATTGAGAGAGGAATATCATTTGGGAGAAATGAATCAACATGTAAACTCGATTTAAAATGGGAGTGGGAGCTAGAGAGAGAGAAACTAGCAGATTTTTTTTACCCCCAGAAGTGTGACCAATATACGAGCTCCACTGCAACCTAAAGGATGTCCCAAGGATACAGCTCCACCATGAACGTTAACTTTTTCCTGAACCAGAAAATAGCAAAAAATAGTTGAGAAACGACTCAAACTAGACACTCGTTTCAACATACTCATCTTAAAGCACATTAGTCAATTCACATCCATGTGTATTATGTATGCGCGCCAAAACAGAAAGGCATAGATGAAGAGGGAGGGTTGGGTTTCGCAGCAGAAGAACTTACTGGGTTAAGTCCGAGCAATTTTTGATTTGCAAGAGCCACGACCTGCACAGAAACATAACATAGTAAGAATTGTCATTTCCCACATTTAGAAGCTAACTATTACAATTAAGCAGAAATGAAAGAAGAATCTTACAGCAAAGGCTTCGTTAATTTCATAGAAATCAATTTGGAAGGCCTCCAAGCCAGCATGTGAAATAGCTTTAGGAATTGCAAGAGCTGGAGCTGTGGTAAATAGTTCTGGTGCCTGCACAGTCAATCTCATGTGAGAATCAAGTATAAGACATTAAGGACCCGTTTGGTTCACGCGTTCAAATTAGTGATTCTGATTCATTGGCGGAAAGTTTATGAGAGAACCATTGGTGGGAAATTTTTGAATTAAGAGGAAAACACTGTAGCAGAATTAGAATCATGAGTTTAAATACATTTGCCAAAAGGGCCCAAAACACTTATGTTCGAGTAATGTCAAAAGAAGAAAAAATGTATTTCTATTTTTGACATCAGCAGCGGCGTTCAATTCTACGTATATCTGTGGAATACCTGAGCAGCATCAGCATATCCGCTGATCTTTGCGATAACTTGCAGCCCAAGCTTTATTGCTTTTTCTCCGCTGACTAAAACTAAAGCAGCAGCACCATCACTGTTGGCCAGAAGGGGAAAAAAAACTCAGTAAAAAAGCTCAGGTTCATGTATTTCCAAGAAAAGTTAGCGACATTTGTAATCCATGAATGAGTAATGTGAACTGTGTAATCAATGCAACTGTGCTCAGTCCATAATCAGTATTCAAAAAACTGTAGAAAGCAGAAACATGTGAATAATTTCTGCTGGAAACAGGATGAGATAAGTGCTGTGTTTCTTTCTATTATCGTCTATATAGATACTAAATGGAAAAAAAAAAATAAAGAATAACAAATTGGATTTAATGACCGAAAACTAGACCTTATACTAGAAGCATTTCCAGCAGTGACTGTACCGCTATTCTCCTTGAAACTTGGACGAAGCTTTCGCAGTTTGCCAGCATCAAACTGATAACACAGGAAAACATTTACGAGTGTCAATAAAGCAAGTTGGGGGCATCTACTCAATTTCCAGTAAGAAAACAATGGAATTTGCACTATGCAAATGTTGGAGCTAGTAATGGAAGCAAAAGTTGTTTTTACCTTTCCTAAACCTTCATCCTTGTCAACAATTGTTGGTGGTTTTCCCCTCCCTCCAGAAACTTCAACCTGCATTATACCAGATTATTCATCAAATTGAAGATAAATGCAATGAAAAATATCATCTAACTTGTGGATAGGTCACCAACCGGAACAATTTCCCATGCGAAGGCACCACTGTCTTGGGCAGCAATACCACGCTCAAAGCTTTGAATTGCAAAGTCATCCTGCAGAGACATAGGCACATATGAAACTCTCGGTTCTTTTATTCATCTATTTATTTGAATTATAGAGTGCTCTTAATTGAGACCTGCTCCTCTCTTGTTATTTTATGGTTTTCCGCACATATTTCAGCACATACTCCCATGCCAACATCATTGTAGACATCCCACAAACCATCTTTTAACATTCCATCAACAAGAGAATCATGTCCAAGTCGAGATCCTTTCCTGCATTTCAGGATTGAGTCAAGAAAAATCTGAAAATGGTCTGCACCAAGAGAACCGTCAAGAAGAAGGGAGCACTAACCTTGCTTCTGCAAGATACTTGGGCGTATTAGACATGCTTTCCATGCCACCAGCCACAACAACATCATTAATTCCCAACTGAATGCTTTGTGCCGCAAGAATTGTTGCTGTTTCAGCCAAACAAAATACATACTAAGACATTACAGTTGCCACTAAATGAAACTTGACAAAAAAAAAAAAGGGCCCAAAAGGAAAGGAGAATGGATTAATGATCATGAGTGTGCACCTTTCATCCCTGATGCACAAACTTTGTTTATAGTGGTACAGACCACTGTATTAGGAATTCCTGCACCCAGTGCAGCCTGTCTAGCTGGAGCCTGACCCAAATTAGCACTGAGAACGTTGCCGAAGAAAACTTCTTGTACAAGTGAAGGATTAACGCCAGCCCGTTTTAGAGCAGCTACAAGAGGAGAAAAGGTATGTCGCAAAAAAGATGGAGAAATTTCTTTAAAAACAAAGAGGAAACACCACTTTAGGAATTGGAGAACTATCGATAATTACCTTCAATCACTATTGATCCAAGTTTGGTGGCAGATAAAGAGGACAAAGCACCAAGAAACCCACCCATTGGTGTGCGTGCAACACCAACGATGCAAACATCTGCAGGTGGCAACTATTAAGATTATATATAGCAAAAATTTTAAAGTGTTGAAAGGTTACTCTTTTTTTCAGACATAAAATTTAACATATCCGTCAACAATTACACGAGAGCAAATAAAATATATATTATGTATAGGACGTCAAAAATTGGACTATATGAGCAATACAAAAAATATCAAGTCATCACAAACCAAAAAATTAAAACTATCTCTACGAAATAAATACAGCAAGTCAAGAACTCAAGAGATCCAGTCTCGAAATATTTATTATGACAAATAGTTTATGTACTTATGATTTGCAAAGCACCTGCCCTACAAATAACATATAATTCACGAATCTATGAAGATGGATAGAAACAGAACAAAAAGTAAACCTCTAGGTTTTATGGAATCTGCTGCCGGAGCCATGTGTGGTGGTGGATAGAATCTGCAAGATTTGTACAAAATTTTCGTTAGTGAAACAAATAATTTAACTACTTCATCGCTGGTATCCCCAGACCTTTTTTTTCTTTTTACTCTTTCTTCGCTAGCTTATTGTTCATTGTTTGCACAAAATGGTCGATTCTAAAAATCTTTGAAGCCCATGACTCATTCCATTGTTCTGGAATAACTCATCTGAAACATAGCTTTAAATCCGGAATCAGACCTGAAGCGTTTTGTCTAATCGGAGCGAGGCGAAAGATCGAGGAGAAAGCCTAGAATGAAGGGCTTTTTACATTCCAGAGCAATCCATTTTGAGATTTGTAGAATCTATGAAATCCCGTCCCATCATAGAAGCCAAAGGAAATGAAAGATTATAGCAGAAACGTTCAAATCTCCTCAAAGACATGGGTTTTCCACCAAAAACAAAATCCCAACTTCAGACAAAAATTACAAACAGAAAATCAACAAGGGATGTAAACGGGGCAGGGATGGTGCCCCGTGCCCCAATACCAGCCCCATCATCCTTTTTTTTTCCTTTAGTTTAGAAGAAAAAAAGAAAAAAAAAATATTTGCTGACTAAACGAACAAACCTGAACACAACCTAGATCAAAGGAAAAGGCAAAAACCCAGAACAAATACATAATTTAAATAAATAAATAAAATTGAATTTTTCCCAGGAGAAAAACGTCAGGCCAAATGGATCACAGACATAGAGATTATCAACACAGCTTTTGAAACTTATACAAGAAACAAATATACAAGAACACATATACACATTTAAAAAAAAAAAAAAAAAAGCAAGACAAAGGAATCGATAATCAACGATCGGAAACAAAATTGTCGACGACGGCGACCACTTTGACGGATATGCCGTCGTATCAGAGAGGCGCCGGCAGTGAATGAGTTTTAGAATTTCATTTTCATTTTTATTATATTCTTATTTTATTTGGGAACTTAAAAGATCCCAATTTAACCGTTTCGACAAGAAAGGACAAACTAGAGCTAGAACTAATATAGTTTAGCAATTAAGCACGCCTTAATTATCTCAGAAATCTCCCAATTTTCTCGAATCGCAAAAGATTAACAGATCCAAATCGCTTCTCGTCTGAGAAACGCAAGAAGAGCGAAATGGCAAAAAACAAAAGTGGTTTGAGACATGTTATTATGTTAATAAGGAAAGAAGAGTGAAAATACCGGAAAATCGGCGAGAAAGTGAAGGAAAATCGAAGAGAAAATAGAGTTTGAGAACATCTGAGGCATGCAAGCAAATCCCAAAAGAGGAATTTTACCTATAACTGTCCTGTTACGTTGGAATGTCCGCCTTGTGTTGTGTTACGAGAGCTTGTAACTGGTCAGTTAGAAATGGTTTTTCTGCTTCTGCTATATATAGAGGTGGAGACAAGTGCACGAGGCACGAATTCAAAAAAACCCTTTTGAAACTAGTTTAATTGCTATTATATCAGAAAATTGCCACTGATATCCCTTGTATTTTTTTTTTTGCTAAAACACCCCCGCGTTTTATTATATTACAGAAAACCCGTTAACTGATATATTATTGTATTAGAGAGAACCTTTTTTTTTATTTTTTTTATTTTTTTTTATTTTTAAATCATCATCAGAGAAGTTCGTTAATTGATACATTTTAAATCAACTCTTTTGAGAAATTATAAAATTACAGTGTAGCACTCACGTTTGACCTCATGCTCTTTTTACCATTCTAATTAAAAGGGATTGCGTTCAGTATATTTGTTTCGGTAATTCCATATTAGTATTAAACAATAACAAAAAGAAAATGATAGTTGTTTTCATTAATCTCAAACATTGTCCTGAACTTTACATTAAATCTTAGTTTGATGCTTAACGTTTAAGATATATCAAAATTAACATCAATCTATCACCCTGTAACAAAATTAGTCCTTGTTTTACATCTGCACCAAAATTTGGACTGAATATATCATATAAGACCCACTTCAATAGGTGTGTCAACAACATGTTAATGGAAGGACTAGCTTTCCACTTTTAAATTTATTGGTGAAGATGGATCCACGCATCCTTTTGTTGTCCTTCTCTTTTTATTCGGTTTTTTTTTTTTTGCCTTTTTGGAATCTTTTTTTTTTCTTTTTCAAGAGGAAAAAAAAAACATTTTCTAAATAGAATATGATCTTTGTACATATCACTACCGATAGTTCATGTTTCTTGACGATCTTTATATTCAGTAAAAAATCATATTATTTAACGGTTTAACAAAATTAACAAAACTTGATATAAATTTAACGGTTTAAAATAAATTATCCTAACGATAAAGTATTATTTTTCATACCTTATGATAGAATTCATAAAAAAAAAAAGTGTTCTAATTATCATTCCTCAATGGCATGTTACTTACTACTAATGACTTTTGTGTGATAGGTAGTTCTAACCATGTTGTTCACTGGTTGTTAATAAAAAACCATGTCATTCACAACTTTTACAAATAATTAATACGGAATACTTTATTTTAATGATTGACTGTAAAGTTACAAATTTAATCAAAATCACATCTAACGGTTTTAAACAGAGCCGTGCTAGCCTAACATAAAGATGTCAATCTTTTTATGATTTCTTTACCTTATCGTCCTAGTCCTTGCTCATGCTATATCTATCCCTAGGCAAAGTTCACAAGCCTATAGTTTGCCAGGAAATGATTCAATGAAGCACACAGAGGTGAGATTTCGTGACGTTTCATCCCTCAAACAAAAGACCCGTTCATTTTGTTGATTCGAGTTTAGAATTCGAGTTTTGCTACAGTAAAAAGTTCTCAGAAACAGTCACATCTAACTTTTTTGCTACAGTAAAAAGCTCTCACACAACATCACATCTCAACTCGAATTAACGAACCGAACGGGCCCAAAGTTGCTGCGTACTGGATCTAACGTCGTGATTTTTTTTTATTTTTTTATTTTTTTATCAGAATGAACAATATTAGCTTTTTGAAATCTAGATCTCAACTAGATAGAAGTGGACGTGGAAAAACCAACAGTATTAATTTATCGACAATATTAATTGCTTTTAGGTACTTTGCTCGAAATCCAAAAAACTCTCGGTTTTCACTCAAATTATTGTTAGGTATTTTGTTTTTGCGTGGAAGAAATAATGTAAAAGAATGATAAAAAGATGCGTGGTGTTGTATTATTGAAAGTTCATCAATAAAAGGACCTATTTGTGCAAAAATTTATTAGGTTAGATTAAATCCCTAAAGAATACATTCCAACTTGTTATTTTCCCAACAACCAACAAAAAACTATTAAAAAAAAGTGAGGAAAGTCAAGAAAGGGACTAAAGAGCCTCGACTGACGGGGACCAACTGAAAGATGAATTCATGGTGATCCCACATCACGTGTTAAAGCAGCAAATTATTCTAAAGGGTCGTATATACTAAAGATGCCTCAAAGTAAATAAATAATTCAATTATATTAAAGTATATGAAAGGAGTACTACAGTGAACACCTATTTCTAATTTTATTACACTTCGATCCCGGTAGTAATATCATTTTTCAAATATCATATATAAGATAATTTTATTACTTATGCAGAACTAAATCAACAATGATTATTAAATTTCACACACTTATAGCCAAAAAAAAAAAAAAAAAAGAAGAAGAAAGAAAGAAAGAAAAGAAAACTTCATTACACAAAGCAGTACAAAGCAGTAAATATGAATCCAAAAAAAGTTTCCAACGAAAATAATATTATTATTAGAGTAGTGTTAGAGACACTAACAATAATCTCAATGTTTATGTATCAATTTACGTGGTATATAATTGTTAAATTTTTATTGATAGACGTAGTCACTTATTATTAATTAATATGATAATTTTTTAAATAATAATTAAATAAAAAGTGACAATTTATATGACACATGAGTTTGTTTAAAAAAAATTGAGATTAGAGCTGGTAGTGTTATTATTATTATTATTATTATTATTATTATTATTATTATTTATCATTATCATTATTATCATTATTATTATTATTATTATTAATGAGGATGCGGTCGAGCAAGGGCTATCACCCGTGTAATGGCTAGCAAGTGGACAACGTAGCAAATCATAATAATAATTAAAAAAATCACGTGATTCTCTATCATTATAAATCATAAACAAACAAACAAACGAATTAAAACTACAAAAAAAAAAAAAAAAATTATTAGAGAGAGAAAAAAACGAACGATTCTTTCTGTTCATACTCTGCGTTATCATTTGACCATTGTCTAGGCGATATTAACAATGCAAATTCTTTATTATTTTTCTTTTGATAGAAGCAAATTTTTTATTACATTATTATAGTAGTATATGACATATTGGAGACTGCAAAACTATATTATATATGGTTTAGACCGTATAGAAGCAAGATTTATTTATGGAGCATAATGAATACAACGTGTAGAATCTTTTTTAAAATAACACTGAGTGGAAACAAACATCTACTTCTGCCTAATTGTTATAATACACGGCATCTTTGCTATCATATTGATCATAGAGTAAAGAAGAATAACAATTCTTCAAGTTGTATGCTTCTTTTCTAAAATTTGCCTCATCACTAGATTAATTTTCCTTTGGGATAACCAGATTATATGAATAAGTTTTTTAATGGTTATGTTTTTATAAATAAAGCATGATATTTTCTAAGTGATCCGGCAAAAGATAAAAGCAAGAATTACATGTATAAGCAAACAAATTTGCACAATCTATAAAATGACATCCCATTACTTGATAGATTGAAAGTTGCAGCAAATTGAATTGACTTCACCAATGCTCCATTACACTAGTTGTAGTTGATGTAGGATTGAGATAGAAGATACCAACACCATATAGAAATTAGAGAATTAAGAAGAGAAATAGAATGATTAGAGATAGAAATAGAAGAGAATAGGTGATTTAAGAGAAGAACGAAAACTCTAGAGTAAGAAACCAAAAACTCAATATTTATTAATCAACTATCAAAGTCTAAAATATATAAACTTAACATCGTCTTTCATAAAATTAAAAAAAAAAAAAAAAAAAAACTTAACATCGTCTTTCTTATTATAACAACTAAATCCTAGAACAAATCTAATTCTAATGTTTTAAATAATTCTAAGAGTTAAACAAGATTTTAAATAAACTGTGACAGTAAATATAACATTAAATTCAATATTGAATACTAATACTAAAATTAACTAATTTCTAATCCTCATCTCACTATGTCATAACTCATAAGTAAATGAACCTAAGTTGGTGGATATGCAATAATAATCAAATCAATTAAAAAAATTAGTAGTTTTTGTTGGAAAGTTCAACATTGTACAGCAGAAGTAGGATCTTAAGTGGAGAAAGATTGAAAGAGAGCCTGACTAATTCTCATGAATAAATAAAGTCGAGTTTATCGTATCACTAGAAATCAACTAAAGAGAAGCCACTATTTTTGTATTTTAAAGAAATAGATTAGTGTAAATAATTTAAAGCGTAGATTTAACAATTTTTATAGGTAAAAAGGATTCCTTCTTCCAACTGAGGTCATCAGTTTTTAGCGGAAAAATTTTCATTTTATTAAAACAAAATTACATACTCAAATTAGTCACAAGTGAGCACCATCTACAATGGAATTCAGCCTTGAATATTGATTGGATCTACCAGTAAAGACAGATGAAGCACATGTTTAAAACACAAGTGCTGAGACCCAACGGGAAAGACCTGCTCAGTAAATAATTATTGAACGGAATCAAGACTCGTTAAACATAACCATTACAGTCGATGGATTAATCCAGTCAACCAAGACCAAACCCCAAATATGGACACAAACGAGATGACATAGAATCATATCTAGTCGGATACCATTACCCATGCCATCGATAAATGGGTGGGACACATTGACAAAGTTGGAAAGCAGAGAAATCACCACCGTTATTACATAATTAACACAATAACAAAACAACATATACCAACATCAATTAAAGTGGAAGTATCAAGTCTTTATCACAAAATAATAATAAAAAATGAAAAAATAATTAGCCATAGCCAACATGGAGGATTCAACAACAAAAAGTTGGCCATTGTGCTATAAAGTATGCAATTGAATATGAGAATAGCCGCCACAAAAAGATCATAACCGCCGACCACAAAAATAATTACGGAGATTCCTAAAGGAAGCGTTGTACCATTGAGATCGAGATGCCATGCCATAGGCCCATCAGAAACATCCTACAATGTTTGACTCATCTTGGCCCCTGGGCGCCCCACTGCGCGGGTTGGGTGCTTTTTTGCAGCATTTTTTTTTTATAATTCATGGCCATTTTTTGCTGGCATGCTTAGAAAAATGTTATGATCGCGTATGCAAAATTTAAGAATTTTTTGACGTCGTTTTTATT